AGCCGGGATTTAAAAATGGCGGCGCCCGGCTTATGCAAATGAAGCCCGGGAAATTCAAATCTCGGGCTTCATTTGCAATTGCGGTATGCCTACATTACCCTCCTATTTCGAAATAGGAGGGTAGTGTAGACATACCCATCTTTACTACATGCACAGTCAGCCTCTGGAAGGGCACACGCTGGAAATGAATGAAGCCTGCATCCTTGCATGTCTCTCCAAGCTTACCCTCCTATTTCGAAATAGGAGGGTAGTGTAGACATACCCATCTTTACTACATGCACAGTCAGCCTCTGGAAGGGCACACGCTGGAAATGAATGAAGCCTGCATCCTTGCATGTCTCTCCAAGCCTCCCTGAATTACATCTGGGAGCTTGGAAAGGCCGTTCTTTGCTTCCCATCATCTCATTCACAAGCCCTGCAAAGATGGGAGGATGGCCAGCAACCCAACACAAGTCAGTGACGATAAGGGGAAGAAAACCCACAGTAGTGCTGGGGCAGAAAGTGGGGGATCCAAGAGCACAGCATGATTAGAATCAGGCTTAAGAAGCAATATCTTAAACTGCTGTGATTAGTGTTTTCTGTTGTCTCTCAAGGTCCTTCCCTATCTCCATCACCGTAATAGCCTTACATCACCCTGTGAGAGAGGGAAGATTATTATACAACAGATAAGCACATTGATGGATTAAGTGATTTGCCCAAGCTCACTCGAGACATCTGTGGCACTGCCTGGGACTGAACCCAGATTTCCTGAGTCCCAGGTAGAGATCAAAGGGAAACAAGAGTATGAAGGGAAAGAAAAGAGAAATATTAGCTGAAAAGCCAGGGATACCTGCAGGCCTGAAATCATCTTCTTTGCTTCTTCCATTTCCTTTTCTAAATGGTCTTGTTGTTCCAGCAGCTGCTCCTCCCAGGAGGTCTCTAGATATACCCCAGGGCTCCCGGCCTGCCACTCTGGGAGAAATGGTGAGTCCGTCTCTTCTGCAAGAGGAAAAAGCAACATGAAATACTGCTGAACAGCAACAGAGGAGTCCTGGAAAGCAAGGCACAGCAACAAAGATCTCCAGGTCTCGGAACTTGGTTCTCAGCAGCAAAAAACTGCAATCTCTTTCCGTCTGATCTCAAGATAACAGCTAGGGTGAAGCCTCTTGCCCTAGCTTGGGGACCAATGCTTCATTCACCCTGCAAAAGAGCCACTACCTTCCCGCATATGCATACCTGTGAGCCAAAGTTGACCTGAATCCATCATCTTTGTTAGCACGGATGTACATGGTCTCCTGGGCTACGTCTACACTGGCCCCTTTTCCGAAAGGGGCATGTTAATTTCACAGGTCGTAATAGGGAAATCCGCGGGGGATTTAAATATCCCCCGCGGCATTTAAATAAAGATGTCCGCCGCTTTTTTCCGGCTTTTAGAAAAGCCGGAAAAGAGCGTCTACACTGGCCCCGATCCTCCGGAAAAAAAGCCCTTTTCCGGAGGATCTTATTCCTACTTCAAAGTAGGGGAAGAAAACCCACAGTAGGAATAAGATCCTCCGGAAAAGGGCTTTTTTTCCGGAGGATCGGGGCCAGTGTAGACGCTCTTTTCCGGCTTTTCTAAAAGCCGGAAAAAAGCGGCGGACATCTTTATTTAAATGCCGCGGGGGATATTTAAATCCCCCGCGGATTTCCCTATTACGACCTGTGAAATTAACATGCCCCTTTCGGAAAAGGGGCCAGTGTAGACGTAGCCCTGGTGTTAGAGAGTTCTAGGCAAGTTGCAGGGGAGGACGCACTGAGGGAGGTGGGGTGGTGAGGGTGTTTATATCTTAGGGTTGGAGCTGTAGGAAAGGATGAAGAGCAGTGGGAAGAGGAGATCTCAGTGTTGCAGGAGGCACCCCCTCCCTGCCTACTGCAATAAGCAATAATGAGATACAGAATCATAGAAGATTAGGGGGTGGAAGGGACCTCAGAAGGTCATTTAGTCTAGCTCCCTGCCCAATCCAACAATGTACTGATCTAAATCCCACAAAAGTCAATACAAAGACCATACTGATGTTAATGAGATTTCGATCAGGTCCTAAATACTTGTGATCGAGATTTTCCAATGTTTTGATATATCTCCGCTATGCCATGGGTGAAAACCCTGCTGCAGTGCCAGAATTCTTGAAGCCCTTGCCAGGTTTTGCTCCACATATTGAAGCATTATAGGTGCTGGCAGGGAGCATGCGCCACTTTTAACTGAATGATTGTCTCACTTAGGGACGTTAAAATGCAGGTATTTAACTAATCGAGCGGTCGATAGAATTTTTATCGACAACTTGATTAGTCAATAGGCAGTCCGGCTTAGTTCTGGTTCACGCCAGGTATGGGCCCAAACCCCACTGCGGCTCTGCAGTTTAAAAGACAGTAGGAGCCAGACAGCCTGCCCCCCCCGGCTCCCACTGCATTTTAAATTGCAGAGCTGCAGCGGGGTTTTGTCCCGCACCCAGTGCAAGCCAGAATTGAGCCAGGATGCCTGCCCAGCCAGCAGCAGCCCCCATGTGCGGGGGTTCCAGCTGGGATTTGGGATCTTTCATGCACAGGGACTACTGCCGCAAAGCAGCCCCTGCCAGCAGCCAGGTCGCCACAGACAGGGGCTGCTTCGCAGCAGCCCCTCTCCCCCCACTTCTGATAGAGGCTGCAGCGGTGAGGGCGGGCAGCACCGTGTAGACGGTGCTGGGGCGAATCAGCTTTTAAACCGTCTCCTCCCAGCACTTGCTCCTACTTCCCCTCTCCACCCCTGCTGCCTGTTACAGAGGCAGCAGGGCGGTTGCGAGTAGTCGATTCGACAGGCTTATCGGGTAGCCGACTAGTCGACTACTCCTTTACATCCCTCGTTTCGCTCCACTTGCTGAGCTGGGGGGAGGGAATGCCGCAAGGCACTTTCACTATAAGCCTCTCTGTCCCATCCCTGAATAGTCAAGGTTTTCTAGGCAGAACCTTGTTCTTCACCAACTTATTGAAGCCCGGGCTGAATAGTAGTTTACTCCATGAAATTTATGCAGCTATTTGGGAAGCCAGCTCCTATTCAGCATAAGGTTGGAACAACTGGGTCCACAATAATCTGCTGTGTGAAACCTTTTCCTACAGAGACAATTATAATAAGCCAGCTCATTATTCCTGTTTGATCTATCTATCTACTCGTCCCTTTCACTGCTGTGGTACCTAGGCACTAGTCCCCTGCTACATGTCCTCAAAAATATCTGAGCAAGAATTAAATCAACTTTCAGAAAGCAATTAAGCCATGTTGTACAGATTAATAAACATTTGAATCATAGCCTAAACCCAAAATGCCTGTCCTTGCTCTTCTGACTTTTTGCTTTGTATGCAGTATCATCCCTGCTAATGATCATTGGCCTTGATTTCAGCTCAAGAGATCAATGGGATTTTTTTTTTTAAAGAAGACCAAAATATTGTATACACCCTGCAACATTCTGTAATCTCCATAAGACACTATGGTCTGTGCTGGCTAATGCCACAGCTCCAGGGCTGCTGGGATTTAGACTTTGTACCCAAGGAGCAATGATAAACTTGGAGATAAACATGTTAGTGGGGCCTATCCCATAATTGCAGACTAGGGATGTTAAAAGCGGGTTAAAAAGGTAACTGTGAACCCGCTGAAAATCTCAGAGGTTACACGCGCTGCAGGCTCTGCAGTCAAAGCTTAAATAAGATTTTCACTGCAGAGCACAGAGCAAAGCCCCCTCGGGAGTGGAGCCTGCAGCCCCTGCCTGCCCAGCTCCCTGGGAGGAGGCTTCGCTGTGGGCTCTGCAGCCAGCTCCGCAGGAGTGGGGCTGGCAGCCCCTACTGACCTCACTCCCACGGAGCCAGCATGTAACCTGTGGGGGAGAGTCGAGCCTGCCATGGACAGAGGTTGCTCCAGTTGGCTGGCCAGCTGGAGCAGCATCTGTCTGTGGTGCATTATTGAATCATAGGGCTGGAAGAGACCTCAGAAGACCTTAGGGTTCTGCAGGTCTGGAGCAGCCCTCTGCCTGCGGCGGATGGGGAGCTGCTCCAGCCCCTATAGTTAACCGGAATGGTAAGCATTCCCGTTTAGGGTGATGCTTTCTGGTTAGTGGGTTAACCTTTCACATCCCTATAGCAGGCAGCCACAGATCTCTAGGCAAGGGATAAAGCCATTCCACTGTGCAAAAGGCATGCTGAGATCACCAGTGAACTATTACAGCCCATCAAACATTTCAACCTCAGAAATGCTTTACAGTCAAATATTGTAGATTAAAGAGTTGTAGGGGCTTTACTGGTTGGGATGACAAAACACTTCCTTAGAGAGACTCCCTGTCATTTAGCCTAGGGACAGAGGCTGATCTGAATGCACCATTTCCACACTACGCTCATGAGAGGAAATTGATGTCAGGAACTTCAAAAAACAGCATCCTCGGAGGATGGTAAATAGATTGAAAACGGAAAGTGACCCAGCCGCAGAACATTTTGGTTAATCCTTTTAGCCCATTTGAAATGCAACAACAATCAGGTTTATCAAGGAGAGGGGAGGTGTCATGGAGAAATATCAATGATATGTCAGTAAAAACTGGCAATAATCACACAATAATCCCCAGCCTTGCAAATGTCACTGCAAGCTAGTAGGTGATTTTGTGCATATGTAGCATAAATCCAGAACCCCATTACATAGGTTCAGCTCCAGTCTCCAAATTCAGACAGACTCAGTCTTTCTGTGAGATTGCCTCTTTCTTCACAGCAGCTTCAGGGGAAAAGCATCCACCCTACATAGTAACTAATAAATGACACTTAATTTCATCCCTTCTCTACGGCTTTTCATTTTCAAAGCTTTAACAAGTGAGTCTCCTGGACTTTGCCAAACTGTGGCACAACTAAACAGTGAGTTTGGGGATTTAGTCTATTATGTATTTGAGAGACTTTGAGTATCTGTGCATTTGTGCATGTGTTTATCTATGTGTCTGTCTGTTTGCTCAAAAACTCCTCCCACACGGTAACAGCTAGAACCACTAAATTCCATATGCAGCTTCCTCTTATCATAACGTAAACCAAAGTAAGGCCGTGTCCAGACTCAGGGGTTTTTTCGGGAAAAGTAGCCTTTTCCCGAAAAAACTTCCCCTGCGTCCAGACTCAAGCCGCGTTCTTTCGAAATTATTTCGAAAGAACGCGGCTTTTCTTTCGATGGCGGTAAACCTCGTTTCACGAGGAAGAACGCCTTCCTTCGAAAGTTCCTCTTTCGAAGGAAGGCGTTCTTCAATGTAAAGAGGCCGTCTTCGAAAGAGAGCATCCAGACTCGCTGGGTGCTCTCTTTCGAAAAAGCGGATTTTTCTTTCGAAAGATCCGCCTGCAGTCTAGACGCGATCTTTCGAAAGATGCTCTTTCGAAAGATGCTTTCGAAAGAGCATCTTTCGAAAGAAGCCTGCAGTCTAGACATAGCCTCAGGGTTTGGTTGTGCCAGGAAAATGGGATGTGCCCAGAATGGGATTGCTTCTCAGAAAACCATATAGGAGACAGAATCACTACGCAGGTGACAGGGGCTGGCTGGGAGCACATCCTCCCCATGTGGGATGGCCCCAGCCCCAAGCATCCTACCACCCAGGTGCCCTTTAGGGAGGGTAAACCCACCAATTTGTACAGAGGCATATAAAACCACACAAAAAAGAGACAGAATCACCAGGCACTATAGGCCAGTGAAAAGAGCTGGTTGGGGCCACCCTCCCCCATCAGGGACTGTCCCAGCCCCCAGTCTCCCACCCATAGGTGCCATATACAGAGGGTAGGGAGGGCTGAAGCTCACCCCCATTAATATGGGAACATTTCTGGCTATTCCCCTTTGGCAGAGAGGGAGGAGAAAGTGCACAGTTTTCTGTATTTCTCAATGTGGCTGGGAGGCTTAGGGGGCAAACCAACCTGGACTTGCCCCAGCTAGGAGACATACACCCCTCTCCCAGTGTACCCACTGGAGTTGCAGCAGCCATGGAGAGGTGCTTCTCACATGTCCCCAACCTGCTACAGTGAGAGAGGTCTGGGGTTGTCCTCTCTCCCCAGGGCAGCCCGTGTACTGAACTCATCCCCAGAGCAATGACTTCAATGAAGAAAAACAAAAATTAATTGAAGGACCCAAGCAATGCAACTTCTAGTTTTATATGGACTGAAGTACCAGCTCACACATGGTCTCTGGGAATCAATCCATAGAGCAAGTCTCTGCCATGGCCCTCATGTGGGAAGCAGGAAAGATGCAATGCATCATCTCTGATCTACCTGTTTTGGTTTCTGTTTCTTCAGCTCGGATGATCACAAAGCCTGCCTTCTCTTCCGACTGGGTTCCAATGGACTCGCTCTTTGTGCTGTGTATGGGACTGGGTGATGTCAGACTGCAGAGAAGAGGAAGAGGGACAATTATGTCCAGTGTGAGATGCAAACATATCAGGAGAAAATGAGCAGTTTCATCTCTGTCTAAAATAAAAAGCTATTTGTAGGAAGTCGGGTTTATGGTGCACTGCCCACATGTCAATGAATTCATTAGCAGACCAAACAGGCCTGCAACTTTTTAGGCCAGTAGTTGACTGAAGTGCTGCAGCAGTAATGAGTCTTTTTCCTTTTCCTGTAGCTTAAGATGATGTAAATAGAAGCAACCACCATAGGAATAATGCAGATCTCAAAGTCAGGGAGCTAATTCTAGACCGGGGTGGGCAAAAGGGTCTCTGCGGGCTGGATCTGGCCCACCAAATGAACTGATCCAGCCCATGGAGGCCCTGCCACTCCCCCCATCCCCAGGCCAATTAGGGCCTGGGGCCGGGGAGAAGCGTGCAAAATCTCCTCCCGCCCTGCCCCCGCCCTGCAAGGAGTGTGCGATGCTTAGAAGCATCACGTGCTCCTGGCAGGGCAGGAGGATATTTGGGTGCAGGGAGAGCACGTGAAGCCTCCTCTCGCCCTGCAAGGGGCTCAACACTTAAAGTCAGCTGCCAGTTGCTGCTCAGCTGGTGGTTGACTCTAAGCACAGAGCTCCCTTGCAGGGCGGGGACAGGGAGTGAGAGACGTCACGTGCTCCCCCTCCCCAGGCCCTGATTGACCTGGATGTAGCAGGGGGGAGCACGTGAAGTCTCCTCCCAATGCCAGGGGCACGGGTACCTAGAGGGAGCCACCAGCTGTTCAGAACAGCTGGCAGTTCTCTCGGGGGGAGGGGAGAAGAGGAGGGTAGACTTTGCAGGCTCCCCCACTCCCAGCCAATCAGGGTCAGTGGGTGGGGAAGCGTGGAAGTGTCCTGGCCCCGCCCCTTCCACCCAAAGCCCCGCCCCTTCCAGGGTGGCTTGAGACCATTACAAAATTTCTGAAGTGACCCCCGGTCAAAAATTATTGCACACCCCTTTCTAGACTATCCTTCAGACTGCAGTTCTGCTTACAACATAAACTATTGCAATGTTTATCCTACAGTTGCAAAATACTACCAAAAGTCATTTGTAGAATCTCAGCTCTCTTGGTTTCTCACCTGTATTTAAAGAGCACAATTATAGTATTGAGAACCTACTTGGAATTCCAATGCTAAGCAGCCCTCTTGAACACAAAGACACCAACACATGATCTAGCTTTAAATGAGAAAGCTTCTTGAAAGCTACATATTTCTACGGCAACAATCCCAGCTGGTTGTGAGGTCCAGACTCTCAAGCTCTTTCAGATAGTCTTCCCAAATCCATCACCAGGACAACAGCCAAGGCATCTGAGCTCAGTGATCCAGTTAATGTGCCCCCAAAGTCTCCAGGAATTAATCCTTGCAAGTGCAAGGAGGAGTTAATGTTTCATTCTCCTCAAGACAGACACAAAAGCCAGAGAGAATAAAAAGAAAACATAATAAAAGTAACAAAATAGATTTAGAGAAATAAAATGCACGTCTATAGTTTGCCTTTCCGATCTTCCCAGCACTTCGGATATAGGTTCCCCAGCTCAGAAGCATACATCTCTCTCTAATAAAATCAAAGAGTTTTAGAAATTAAAGATGGAAATGACCTGTTAGCAGCTCCCATCTAGTCCACTCCCAAGAGCCATCCCCAAGAGACTGTTCCTAGTCTATTTTCCAGGCCTTCCACTAATCTAATTTTAAATGATTCAACTAAAAGTCAGCTCCCAGTGCAGTACAAGAATAAATGAGTGTGAGTCACTAAGTGAAGAGCGACCATTTTGGACTAGATACAAAAAGCAGAAACAGTGTTTGCTCAGACCCTGTTGCTCAGAGTCATACAGCGCATGTCTACACTGCAAAGAAAGACTCACAGCACTCGGTCTGGGGTATATCTACACTGCAACTGGCCCAAGTCAGCTGACTCGAGCTCCCAGGATTTGGGCTACAGGGCTATAAAACCGCAGCGTAGACATTTGTGCTCAGGCAGCAGGAGCAGAAGCTCTGAGACCCCAAGAGCAGTGTTCCCTGTAAACTGTGCACTTGTGCAGCTGCCCAGAAGAAATTCAAATGCTGTCCAGCTGATAAGCAGAGCGCCCACACCTACGTTTTGTGCTTCTATTGGTGGTGCACATTCTCAAATGCCTCAGTGCACATAATTTTTTTATTCTGCACATGGATGGTAAAGATTAGAGGGAATATTGCCCAAGAGTGAGGAGGGTCGCAAAGCGTGTGCTTCAGCCCATGACCGAATAACTACACTAATTTTGTAGCCTCATAGCCCAAGACCTGTGAACCCGAATCAGCTGACCTGAGCAGGCCATGGCTCTGTGCCACAGTGTAGATGTACCCTCAGAGTCCACATCAACTGACTCGGGCTCACAAGACTTGAGTGGCAAGGCTACAAATTTTAGCCCCACAACCTGAGCCGGTGAGCCTGAGTCAACTGACCCCGGCGCTAAGACTTGGCATGACAGGATTTTCTTGGCAGTGTAGACATCCCCGCCGGTGTGCAGGTTTGCTAACGGTTGTTGGTTGTCCCCAATGATTTACCTTAAAGAAAGTGAATCCCGATGCAGAATTCCCTAACAGAAGATGTGTAAAAATGAAACCATTGCCCAGGGGCCCAAGAATGTGATGTTTGTGTTCTGTGGAAATAATCAATTATTAAAAACATATGATCAAATTTTAAAGCAGCACAGCTACACGGAAAGGCACTGAGACTGACCGAACACACCCAGGATTATTGGATGGGATTTACCTTCCCTTCAGGTGTAGTCACTACACGTGTTCACCTGAGACCCCCGGGGAGCCATCAGCCCCACATGATCATTGGGACATGTATTTGTGGGTTGTCCCTCCACAAGCAGTAAAGTAAGCAGCCCAAGAAAAAACAACATCTACTGCACATGAAGGCGGCTACCTAGACACGGTGGGGGGTTAGGTGTCTCTACCTAGGAGCCAATACAGAGGATCAGAAGGCAAAAGGCACATGTGGCAGACGGTGCTCTTGGGCTACTTGGCAGGTAGCAGGACACGGCACAAGGAAGTAAATTTCTCCCCAATTTTCCTCTTTTCAGAACTAGATCCACTACCCAAAGTGAATGTTCTGTGATAGAGTTGAGGTTTAAGGCAACTGAGACAGCATCAGATATTTCACACCACATCTGCAACAGGATTTTAATATAATCCTGTATCCTACAGATACCACTCCATCTAAAGGCAGTTTCTCT